AAAAAAAAAAAAAAAAAAAAAAGAAGTAGTCACAAAAAGAATCATCAGTTTAAGAATTTGCTATCAACACAAGAAACAAATGGTCTAAAGTGTTCATTAATGTATCAATTATGAAGATGGAAATTCAATATTTTTATTATAAGAAAAAGAATAATATACATTTGTCTATTTATTTTGTGAAGGTAAAAGCTAGACTTCAAATTCTGCATTACTTTCTGTATATTTTCTTAGAAGTTGAATATAACTCATCAGGTCTTCCCAGTCTGAGGTACTTGAGCCTTACCTAGTTTGGAGTCTCAAAGGTATTTCACATTCAAAATACTATTTTGAAATTATTTTACAACCTACTTTTGAATTCAATGTTCTTATAAGGAAGGCCATGATAGGCTTACTTTCACTTGTTAAAATACAAAAGGCTAAAAAAGAAAAAAAAAACAAAACTTGCCCTGTACCCCAGAGGTTTTAGTCTATAAAATTTTCAACCACAATCCCAATAATTTAATTCATACAAAATCCAGTGGTTTTAAGCGTGTATTTAGTGCGATTAGCTCCCACGTCACGTGTTCTTTAGAATGTAATAGTCCAGCTTTGGTGCAGAACGTTTTTACTTCTATGAACATATCATCTGTCATTCCTGTTTGACAGCAGCTTAAAAAAAACAAGACCAGAAACAACCTCAAACAGTGTTTCCTAAGACGACGTCTAAGTATGTAATCCTCATGTAAGGCACTTCTACACATTCTCAAACTTGTCACTCAACGCTCCACTTCCTCAGGTCTCCGTACTGCTACTTCAAGTACAACGCAAGGACTTGATGGTAGCGTGACTGCCAGAGTGTGGTGGGTGACGGCAGGAGATGGGCACTGGGTTCTGTGTCAGCCAAACTTGAGTGCAGAGGTTCTCGCCCATTTTTACATTTAGAGACCGGGTAATGCTTTCTCTTGTTGATCTTGTTCAAGAATTTTTAAATCTTCCAGAGGAAGATTGCTTAAGGCAGCCGGTAAAATCTGTTCTGAGATGCCCTTAGGTAGCAGGTTACGCGCTTCTAAGTTCTTCACAAAGCACGTGGCTTTGATCCATCTTCGAGTTGCTCTGCGTTCTCTTTGCAGGCAAGTTTTCATTTTTCTCCTCAGGCTTGCTATTTCTCTTTCTAGTTTAATGATCCTTTTCTTCGCCTCCGTAGGGTTCCGAAAGGCATAGCTGTGTTCAAGCAGTACCTGCTGACTGCTGCTGGGTTTTAAGTTACACGCTCCGGTTGCAGTAAAGCTGTTGGTTTTCTTCAGAAGATTCCTTGACTTGAGTTTCTGAGCCGAACAGAGAGTTTAACATAAATTAGGAATATCACCATAAGTAAACAGTGTCCAGTTGTGAGTAACACAGTATTTACCTGATCTTTTTAGGACTGCTTTTAAAGTTGAATGGGCAACAACAGCAGGCTGGCCTAAGGTTCTTAGTAGGTTGAATGAACTCCACTCACCTTGTGCTTTTCTGAGTCAGGGTTTCTCTCTGTATAGCTCTGGCTGCTGGCTTGAACTCAAAGAGATCCTCCACCTGCTTCTGCCTCCTGAGTGCTAGCATTAAAACCATGTTGCCACTATACCTTTCTTATGTCCTTTATCTACAAACTTATCTAAACATTGATTTCAAAATAAGCAGTAGATTTTCATGGTATCTTCCAGATTATTCAATATGATTCTTTGGAGATTAAAAAAAAGTCTTTTCCAACTCCTTTTACTAAGCTCAAATTAGAATTTGTGCAGACATTTCGATTTATCTGTGATACTTATCTGATCTCCCTTTTAGTTAATATTAGTTTCTAACTAGATGAATAGTTTAGACCTGGAATCTACTCAAACAAGAACTCACATTATCTATAGAGACATATTCTTAGGTATCAAGCTTCCAAACAGATTTAGATATTAGTTCTTTACACTAAACCTTCAAAAATTTAAAATCTGGCTAGAAATTTGTTTCTAATCCAGAAAGCTAAGGATTCTTTTGTCCTATATACTCCAAATATATGAAACTACTTGCGATTTTCCTTTTGTGTCAAATCTTACAACTGTGTCTTTCATTTATTAAATAAACATTCTTCAATGTATGACTGACACATCTGTGATCCCTGCATTTAGGAGGCTGAGGCAGGACTGATAGAACTTGAGACCAGTCTGGAGCTACACAGGGAAATTGTCTCAGAAAAGCCAACATGTAAAGGAAAAACTCCACTTTACATTTTGGATGCAGAGGCAGGAGGATGGCTAGTTCAAGAAAGGTTTGTAGGGCTGGACAAGAGCTCAGTAGTTAAGAGAACTGGCCGTTCTTCCAAAGGACCCAGATTCAATTTCCACTCCTACATGGTGGCTAACAACCATGTGTAATGCAGTTTTTTTTCCAGGAGATCCAATGTCCTCTTCTGGTCTCCACAGGTACCAGGCATATTCATGGTACAAATATACATTCAAGGAAAACACCCATAAAAGAATAGCTTGAGCTATATAGAGTACATTTAAAGATAGCTTGGGTTACCTCAATAGCAAGATTGTCTCTTCAAACAAAAGAAACAAAACAAAAGCATTCCCAACCACTTACTGAAACATGAATCTTGGGGAAATAACATTGAACAAGTTGTAGTTCCTACTATCACAAACCTACAGATGGCCTCTCTTCACAGAGAACTGGCACAATCTCCTCTTGGTCTTCATTTTCAAAACATCTAACAGATTGTAGTATAATGAAAAGTTTAATAGTTATTGCATAAATAAATGACCAACATGTCAGAAATAAGGTTCCCTCTTCCATCGTCTTGAGACAACACCTCATGCAGCTCAGGTTGGGGTCAAACCTTCTATGCAGGAGATGACCTTGAACTTCTCCTCCTGCCTCGGCCTCCCGAGGATTTAATTACCCCTGTGCATTCCCTGTGTCAGTTGATTTCAGTTTCACTATACATTTGAGCGTGTACTTGGGGGGGGGGTCAGGTACTCTTTGAGGTGCTCAAATGCACAAGGTTTAGAAATAAGAAAGCCCCTGCTGGTCTGTGGCTTTTCTAACAACTTAGCAGCAACAGCAGCCGCAGCCGCAGCAGCAGCCTCCGCCGCTGCCACCACTACCGCCCACACGTGTATTAAAACACCAACTCACGTCCACTCCCAGTGTCACAAGAAACTCAAACAATAGCCTTTCCTTTCTTAGTGGAAGATGCCTTTTTTATGTATATGAGTACAATTTTTATTTTATGTATATGAGTACAATAGCTGTCTTCAGATACACCCGAAGAGAGCATCGGATCTCATGACAGATGGTTGTGAGCCACCATGTGGCTGTTGGGAATTGAACCCAGGACCTCTGGAAGTGTGGCCAGTGCTCTTAACTACTGAGCCATCTCTCCAGCCCTCGGAAGATGCCCTTTTTAAATCCCCGTGTTTTCTACCTTTTCTTCCTTAAGGTGACTTTCTCAGTGTTTCTTCTCTTATCAGATCTTATCTAACCAGATACACTATTCCTTTCTCCTCTTGTCTCTTTCCCCTAGTGCTGGTCATAAAACCTTGTGTGTGCTGGACACACTCTACTGTAACAAAGCTGTATTTGCACCCTTAAAACAAGTGGCTTTGTTTGTTTTGTTTTCGAGACAGGGGCTGACTATATGTAGCTACACATAACTCTGGCTGCACAGGAACTCAGTAAGTAGATGTGGCAGGACTCTAACTCACAGAATTAACTCTACCTGCTCCTACCTTGTGTGGAACTAAGGGCTCCCTTCAACTAGTTTTGGATTCATTCATCTGTACCCAACTCTTTTTTCTTTCAAGTAAGTCAACAACTGATAATTTATCGATCCATTCCCCGGCTTTAGTTTTATCATCTAACTAAATTGTTCTATGTGTGGTCACAAACCTTCCCTGGTATTCCAAACTCCCGAGTCCTCATGCCTAAACTGAATGAGCGCTACAGTTTCTTATGAAGTTCTTGGCATAACTGAATATGTGTTCTTAAAGTACTTACTAGTACGTCACTTGTTTGTCACCTTAAACTCAGAAGACAGTGATTCTGAAGGTTTCATTAGTAATCTAATGTACCGTTGGTTTTGCCAACGGTACATTTACTGATAATAACTAACTAATAATTTGTTGTTCTGTAAACCCGCAATTCTGGTAAAGTTCCCCATATGCAAATGTTTCATATTTGAAGTACTTGCATAGATTTTTACCTGCTGAGCATCTTTAAAAGTCCAAAATCTGAAATCTGTTTGGAATTCTCTGGGGAAGCAGACTTTGAGTCAGGAGCTGTGACCTCTACCTCTAGTCGTGCTTTTATTACACAAGAGGGGCGTGTAGATTTCTGAGGTGTGTCATTACACACTCATTTTAACACAGTTCGAGTTGCTTTCTTATACAAGCAAAAAGTAATAGGATCTAAAACACGGTTTAAGAAAGGAAAGTGACCTACCAGAGACTTTATATGGGTACAGAAATCAAAAATGGTTGGGACAGCATCCATTTTAAGACGTCGAGTTTGTCCTGTTAGATCAAAACAGGAGGCTTCAAAGTGCTTTGAGCAAAGAAAAGTGTGTTTTCCTGGCACAAAATTTTTGCGCCTGACCAGGCGAACCCATTCTTTTCTTCTTGTAGGATCCAAAGGAAACCTTAAAGCAAGCAAACAAAAGGCAACTCAAATTCCAGCGGTCCTGCTTTTGCTGTACTTAAAACAGTTACATTTTTAAGAAAGTCTCTCATTTATGTAAAAATTTATGTAAAAAATTAAGCAATCTCCAGATGCCAATTTATACTAATTTTTATAGTTATAAAAACTTAGTGAAAAACTGACCTTAGTAGCTTCTTCAAACTTTAAAAAAAAAGAGCTACTCCCTCCAATCTAGCCCTTGACATGGGCAACGACTAAAACACAAGTGACACTCTCAGTAGAATGATCACAAGCAGGGGTGATTATACACGCTTCTATCTGCTGCTGTATGACAAATAAATCAGATATGATAAAGATTAAATTTTAACAAGGAAAGTCTAGATGATATACTCCTTTCTGTCTTTCTTACAGCACATCAGTTTTTTATACTTTCTCCATTAAAATTTCCAGTGTACAAGTTATATATTTTCAAAGGAAACTGTGCACGTGCATGTATACTCTGTGTGTGTGTGTGTATGTGTGTGTGTATGTGAGTGTGTATGCAGGCAGACATGTGGAGGTCAGAAACAACTTCTGTGGGAAATGAGTTGGCTCCTTCCTTCCATTATGGGTTCTGGGAATGGCCTGTACAGCAATAGCTTTTGCACAGCCATTTTCTTGGCTCCAAAGCTGTCTCTTGAGGAAAGCTATTATTATTACTTGTCTGCTTATCTTTGGTTTGTGACTAGTAAGAATTCAGCACAAGTAAATATATTAATACCAATACAGAATATATAAATAACTCATTGTATTCTATGTAGTTAAGCTGTATTAAAAAATCTGGAGCTATGGATCATAGCAGAAAACATAATTATAAAAAGATAAATGACCTATAGCTATCCTTTTCCTTTCATATTTACTTCAAATACAAAAGATACATTCATCCAACACACACTGCTGAAGGAAGACACAAATATGAAGGGTTGTTTCTGGAAATTCTAATAATTCTAGGTTTGTTTATTAACTTGGGAATGTAAGAATAAACATTCATACATAAATTTCAGTTACAATTCCTTTTTTGTTTTTAAATTTAAGACTAGTGAGATGACTCATTAGGTAAGAACACTGACCACAGAACCTATAACCCATGGTTCCCTGGGCCCACACGGCAGGAGAAAAGCCCAACTCCCACAAGCTGTCCTCTGCCCTTCAAATGCAGGCCATGGCTTGTGCACACAGTCTTTCTCTCTCAAATATATACAAAAATATGAAGGTTAAGACTGCCCCTTTGGTACTATATATGTGTATATGTTTGAGCATGTGTGCCAGCTTACAAATGGAAGTCTGAGGTCAACCTGAGATGGTTTTCTCCTTTAACCTTGACATGGGTTCTGGGGATCAAAATCAGATCATGTTACACGGCAAGTGTATTTACTCGATAAGCCAATCTGCCAGCTTATAAATCTTTAGTTTGATTACTGTATCCTCTACAGTACCTAACTTGTGTATAAAAAAACCCGTAAGATCCATGTGAGATCATGTGATCAGAAGGCCTAGCACATGTATAGAATCAGATTTCCACACACTGCCAGCGATGAGAGTGTATAAGTCGGAAGCCCAATGGTGCTCTAAATATTCTTCCTCAAATCAGACATGCCCTGAAGATTTGCTGTCACTCCACAGATCACAGTATTTTGGCATATTTAATTTTCTAGTAAATCTACCAATCCTGCTTAGTTCTCAGTCTGCATCACCCTCTGAGCTCTCTGAGACAGGGTCTACCTATCTAACTCATGCTGGACTGTACACAGTAGCCTGGGGCCAACCTGAGACTCTACAGTTGTCCTGCTTCAGCCTTTCAGGTGGTGGGATTACAGGAGTGAGCCACTGCATCTGGCTTAGCACTTCCCTCTCGATCTCATTTCAGAGCACTCTTTAACGATTCCAGCTAGAGTCTTTCATTTTACTAGGGACTCAGTAAAGATGAGCAGAAATTTGGAGTCCATTGGCTTCCATGTTGAGTGCTGGGATTATGGGCCTATAGCATACCATTTTAGAGTGCTGTTTTTAATTATGTTTGGCAGATGGTATCTGTTTTGTTTTTGAGAGTCTAACATCAGCCAAGCTGAGAACACACTTACTGTGGAGCAGAGGATGAGCCTGACTTCCTGTGAATACAGACAGGTCTATGGAACTCTGGCCCTTGAATGTGGTATTGTTTATATTTTTCACAGTATATATTTAAGGGCAGGACATGGGAGATATAGCCCGTTGGCTAAATTTAAATACTAAAAACTATCTTATAGTAACACATTCATATGGTGGTAACCTATGAATATGTTCTTGTCTACGTAACCCACCCAGGCCTTTATAAACATTTCCTGGTTTGGAAACACTACTCAATTGTTCAAACAATGCTATTTCACTTTCATTTTAAACAAACAGAGGAGTGCCTCTTATATTCTTACACAATTTAGGTGTGGTGGTAATAAAAAAAAAAGACGCATAGCCTCCAAGAGTCTACTGTAATTTAGAAGAGAGAGAATTAAGGAGTTCTAACTTGTTAGCAGACTGACAGCACTGTTATTGAACTACCAGAATTCCAATGTTAGCTCCTTTGCATAGTGTCTGGACACACAGGCAAATTTACCTAACTTTTGTAGATCTCCATTTTTAATAATAGTGGTGCTAGATCAAAACCAAGGTCTCTCATATATACTAAATGGATATCTACCATTGAAGACCATTGAGGTACATCCCCAGCCCCAGGTATTTTATTTCTTTTTCTTTTTTTTTTTAAAGATTTCTTTATTTATTTTATGTACAACATTGCTCTCTCCAGACACACCAGAAGAGGGCGTCAGATCCCATTACAGATGGTTGTGAGCCACCATGTGGTTGGCAGGAATTGAACTCAGGACTTCTGGAAGAGCAGTTGGTGCTCTTAACTGCTGAGCCATCTCTCCAGCCCGGTATTTTATTTCTATTATTTATAATGTAAGGTAGAAATGCTTCTGAGGGGCCGAGGAGATGGCTCTGCTGGATCTCTGTGGCTCAGTGAGCAAGTCTTGAAAGTTTCAGGACAGTGACAGACCTGGTCTCAAAACAACACACACACACACACACACACACACACACACACACACACACACGACATCCAAGGATGTTTTCTGGCCTCCTTTTAAAGATTAGAAGATGTAAATGCCTAGCTTAGTGGCATAGTAGGTCTTTTATAAAGGGGTAAGGATGGAGCCATGTGGAATTGGACGTGCTGATTTATTTAGAAGTCCCCAAGAAAGGGTTTAAAATGGGAATAGTGAAGTTATATGAATCTTGGGCACAAGGCATGAAATAATCATGGGCCTTCTTGTCAAAAAAGACAAGCCATCGATGGCTGAATTGCAAGACCTGACAGAATCAGCTGTTAAATACAGCCATTCTTAAAATCTAATTTCCTGACACTTTACTAATAACTATTTTTAATAACAAGATTTTTTTAATCGTGTCCATTTCTATGTGTGGATAAATATGTGTGAACCAAGGGACCCAAGGAGGCCAGACGCTGGGTCCCTTAGAGCTGGAGTTCCAGATTGAGCTGCCTGTGACGGGTGCTGGGAATTGAACCTGGGGGCTCTGGAAGAGTACACACACTCTTAGCTGCTGAGCCATCTCTCTAGCCCCCGTCTCTACCTTTTGAAGTTATTTATCTCTATCTGCGTCTGTATCGTAGAACCTCTATAGATTAGTGTGATACTGGATTTCTCTTCTTATCTTCACAACTAGTCAGGTCAGATTGGTGGCTTGAAACCAAGCGCGATGAGAGTGAATGCATTGCACAAACTGGGCAAATACTACACTTTGGGGCTTTCCCCCCTTTTTGAAATGACAACTGTTCATGTGGAGCAGTAGACCATTGTAGACGGGTGGTTAGAAATACATGAATTGGCAGGGCAGTGGTGGCACACGCCTTTAATCCCAGCACTTGGGAGGCAGAGGCAGGCGAATTTCTGAGTTCGAGGCCAGCCTGGTCTACAGAGTGAGTTCCAGGATAGCCAGGGCTACACAGAGAAACCCTGTCTCGAAAAACCAAAAAAAAAAAAAAAAGGAAAAAAAAATACATGAATTGAAGCCAGTCATGATGCTGTTACAATACCCAGTCAAGGGAGAAGAGTGATATCAAGTTGGATGGCTTCCGGCATGTTGGGTGGATAGTATTTCCACTTACTGGAAAGGAGAATACGGGAATCAGTATATTTGTCGGGTGGCAGTTCCCTACCGATATTGAATTAATGGGACTGGCAGAGGACCAGGGTAACAGTACACAGCTGGCCCACAAACAGTCTTTTAATCATCAGAGATAAGGATGTCTACTGTTAGGGGGGATATTTTAATATGTAGACCACAAGTGGGATACACAGGCACAGGTGGATCATTTTGGATAAGAGTTTGAGAAGGGTTAGTAGACGAGATTAAAACAAAGCAAAGAAGAAAAATCATAAGACCAGTGACAAATTTAAAAGTGGACATCATTTTACTGAATGAAAAAAGAGCACACATTATGAAAATGAGGCTCAGGGCGTGTTAACAGAGGCTTAAATTAAGCTTACGAAGGACAGGTAGAGAAGTATAAATAATTAAAAATAAATTTAGGCAACGTAATTTTTAAAATTATTTTTATTTTGTATGTGTACATGCCTAACTGTATCTAGGTGTACACTGTGCATCAAAGAGCCCACGGAAGTCAGAAGAGGTGTTGAATCCTCTAGGTCTGGTTTATGAGCTGCCATGTGTGGGCTGGGAACCAAACCTAGGTCCTCTGCAAGAACAATAAACATTCTTAACTGATGAGCCATCTCTCCAGCCCCTACCCAACAAAATTTGTGTAGGCAGATAAAGAAGTCTATGTCTGCCAGGCAGTGGCAGAGAAATCTCTGTGAGTCCATGTGAGTTATTTACATGTGAGAGATATGTAGGTCGATCTGGTCTATTTATTGAATGTGAGCCAGCCATACACATGTGACCCAGACACACACAGAGAAGCAAGAGAGTGTGTGCCTACGCTCTACAAGAGAAGTTAAATACTATTTGTATTTATAAAAACAAGAATATATTATTAACATGGTCTTAACTCCTCCTTTCTCCTTTTTGTATGTTGTATTTGGAGACAGGGTCTTATTTTGTAGCCAACCCTTGAATTCCATTCTGTAACTAAGACTGGTCTTAAACTCATGGTAAGCCTTCTACCTACTCTTCCCATGTAAGGGGAATCTAGGAATGTGCCTGCCTACAAAGACCTAAACTTCTAAGGTTACCATTAAAATGTTAATTTCACATTAGATGAACAGTATTGGACACTGTGTATCTTTCTTCTTCTTTAGTGTTTTTGAGACAGGGTATCTCCGTCTCTGTATAATAGCTCCTGCTGTCCTGGAATTTGCTTTGTAGACTAGACTGGCCTCAAACTCAAAGAAATTGCCTATCTCTGCCTAAAGGTACACACCACCCAACTTACTTTTCTTCTTTTTTTTTTTTGTTTTTTGTTTTTTTGAGACAGGGTTTCTCTGTGTAGCCCTGGCTGTCCTGGAACTCACTCTGTAGACCAGGCTGGCCTCGAACTCAGAAATCCACCTGCCTCTGCCTCCCAAGTGCTGGGATTAAAGGCATGCACCACCACCGCCCAGCTTTTTTTTTTTAACTTTTCTTTTTTTTTGAGACAGGGATTTACTCTGGACTACAGACAGGCCTTGAACTTAAGAGTGGATCCTCCTGGCTCAGACTCCCGAGTTCTAAGATTGTAACTGTGGGCCAGCACACCAAGCTCTCGGTTGTACATCTCCTATACTTTGGATTTTGGCCAGACTCCTCTCTTTCATGGTCCACATCAGATTATCAAGTCCAGTAAATTCTCCTTAAACATTTCTCCAAAATCTGTCCACATCTCTTCATCTTTACTGCCAATAGCATCTTATTCTAGACCACGGAATGGATTCCTTCTATTTATTTCAATTTGCCTTTGAGACAGGCTCTGTGTCGCTCAGGCTGGCCTCTTCTTCCTCTGTTGTGGGATTATAGACATGTCTGAGCATACCCAGCTTGGGCTCCCTTTGTGACAGCTCAATCAACTCCTCAGTGCTCCTGTACCCACAACTAAGCATCAGTATTTACTTCAGTTGACATGTAACATAATTTCCCCGTGAAGGAAATGGCGATAGATTAACATTCTATAAGGCCCCCCTTCCCATCAAATTCATCTCTGGTGATGCTTGACTAGCACTTTAAGTATCCCTCTTACTCTCTGATGCAGCCGGAAGGCTTTTTATTATGTAAATCTAATCGTGCTAGCCTTTTCATAGTCTTCAGGGCTTCTTCAAGTACTCTTGGAACAAAGCAGGGAGCGGTTTAATATAGAAGCCCAAACCTATGTCATCCTTTGGTCTCATCCGACATGTCACCTCTTTTGTGAAGTGTCCTTTGACTTTCTGAGGCTAAATTAGGTCTCTTTGAATGTCTTCTCTGTGGCACTCAACTGTAATTATGCCTTACTCCTCTATTCAATTCTGAAGTCCCTGAGGGTAAGAACTTTCTATATCATTAGCAATAATGTCAGGCAATTAGGGACCCAGTGTACATTTGAAATAAGAATGAGCAAAGCTCTACAATTGCAGGAAATTAAGCTATTGCTTAAAAACAAACAGCAGAAGCATTTTTAAAGTGGCAGCTTCTAGTTAGGGAGATGCATGTAGCAATAGTGAGGTAGGAAGAAGAGCAAAAATATTTTCTATATTCTAAGATCACAAGGTATATGGTGGGGTATATAAAACCAGAACTGTTTCCAGTTAAGTTTTTAGCATTTCTTTTCTTCAGGCAGGTGGCAGTTTTTGAAAGGTGACCATTTAAGGCGGTGTTCAAATGCTTTGGAGTTTGACTTAACAGAACTAAAGACATGACTGCGTGTTCAACCAAAGAAAAACAAAGCCTAGACTTTTTTTTTTTTTTTTTTTTTTGGTGTGTGTGTGATTCTGTTCAAGAGAGAGTTTCTATTTATTCTTTAATAAACATTGTTTAATTACATGGCCGTCATTGATTGACTCAGTCACCATGTGTGACTATTAGAAATGTTTCCCACGTCAATTCCGCTAGTGAAAATCGCCTAATTTTAACTGGAACACAGCAGGCTTTCTAAAAGTGATTTGTTGGTTTGAACCGGGAAGGAGCTTTCCCTTATGGGTTCATTCGTCTCAAGGCATGGTCTAAGACATAAAAACAAAAAAGAGTAGAAAATAAAGGTATACTCATCACTTTTTAATGTAAGGCGTATGAGTCTCAATCACTCGGATTTCTTTCTTTCTTTCTTTTTTCTTTTTTGCAAATTGGGTAAACTTTCTTCGGAAATGGAGCCAATGTTTCCAGATGTGCCAAACCACACACAAAGGACGAGAGTGATGCTCCCCTGCTATCCGCAGCTGGGCAAAGTGACCAAAGTCAGAGGACCTTGCTCTTTTGCCACGACCGACACTCAGACCGGCTAGGCTCCCGTCACCCCGCTCCCTGCCCAGGTTACCTGTGGAAGCTGATGTTAATATGCTTGTTGTAGGTAGCAGCACAGCCCGCCGCGGCGCAATTGGTCGGCATTTCCCCCGGCCCCTCATTCGGCGCTACCCCGCTAAGCTTCTGTCAAACGCTAGACAAACGAGGCGAGGCGACAAGGCGCCGCCAGCTCCGTGCCGTGAGCGGGGTGGGCAGAGGGGCGTGCACAGTACAGGGGTGGGAGGGAGGGAGGGCCCACTCCCCTTTCTCTTTATTAATATGGCGGGTTCAGGCCCGCAGTGCCAACGTGCTGGAGCTCCCGGCGCAGACAGTCGCCTTCACCAACATGGCGGCCACACCCGCTCCCCCCCCTCCCGGGGTCCCAAAGAGACTCGGTATACTGCGTCTCAGATCGGGGCGCCCTGGCAATGAATGAGAAGATGGCAGGTCGTCTTCTCCACCGACTAATTACTCTGAAACTCAGGTCTGCAGCTCAAGAGCAGGCCCGCTACCCGGACACGCACCCCTGCCATTCTCAGACAGGATGCTAGGGGACAGTTACGACCGCAGGGACCAAGGGCGAAGCCTGGCGCAAGAGAAGACTACAAATCCTAGCGAACACCGCGGCGCGCTTCCTGTTCTCGCGAGACTGGGGAGTCCGTCTTCCGGCGTGCCGCAGGAAATGACGATCGGGACACAGCCTCCTTCCACGGATCCTTTCTCGCGAGGCGGAAGAGCAGCAAGGGGGCGCTAGGAGAGGGAACTGGCTAGCGACGGTCCGGCGAGAGCGATCTGGGGTGCGGGGAAGTTGGGGAGCAGAACCTGCTAGGCGTCCGAGCACGGGAAGGCCGCGCCTGCCGGGTCCGTTAGGACGGAGGGCAGAGGAGGAAGGGGAAGGCAGCTGTCGGGTGGTCCCCGGACAGAGGGCTTAAGGTAGTGTGCACAGCGCTGCTCCCCGGATGGCGACCGCTGAGACTTCGACCCCGGCCTCTAGCGGCCTCTCGCCGAAAGAAGAAGGGGAGCTTGAAGATGGGGAGATCAGCGACGACGACAACAACAGCCAGATCCGGAGCCGGAGCAGCAGCACCAGCAGTAGCGGCGGCGGGCTGTTACCGTACCCGCGGCGGAGGCCTCCTCACCCGCCCCGGGGCGGTGGATCCGGGGGAGGAGGAGGAGGAGGAGGAGGCGGCGGCTCGTCGTCATCCTCGTCCTCATCTCAGCAGCAGCTGAGGAATTTCTCACGCTCACGGCACCCGTCCGAGCGGGGCCACCTCAGGGGACACAGCAGCTACCGACCCAAAGAACCGTTCCGGACTCATCCGCCCCCGGTGCGGATGCCATCGGGGTCCCTGTCGGAGAGCAACCCCCGGCCGTCCTTCTGGGAGCGGAGCCACATAGCACTGGACCGTTTCCGCTTTCGAGGCAGGCCTTACCGGGGTGGGAGTCGCTGGAGTCGGGGGCGAGGAGTGGGTGAGCGAGGAGGCAAGCCGGGGTGCAGACCTCCCTTAGGAGGAGGAGGAGGAGCGGGACCCGGATTCGGCAGCAGCCAGAGCTGGCGAGAACCCTCTCCACCCCGCAAGAGCTGTATCCTTAACGTGGCGGTCCGCCCTGGGTGTGTCGCCGGGAGCTCCCCTTCGGCGTCATTTGCTAGGTCCCGGAGTTGTTTTTTTTTTTTTTAACTTTTCGGAAGCACTCATTTCGTCTCTTGCCCCGTCTGCCGTTGTCCTGTGCCACACACTCCGCCGCTATTTTCGTAGGTGGTTTCACTGGATTGTCTTTGCTTTTGGATAGTGAGTGTGTCACGGATTCTGGTCAGCTTAGGGAAATCAAATACGGTCTGGGTTTATAACAGGACACCAGCAGCCCACATTTCGTTAGTGTTCGTGGGAGTTTCGCTTGTTCGTCTGTTGTTTGTTTTTCTTTTTTGCTAGCACTGGAATTTCGTACTTAATAGGAAATCGATGTAGATTATTAGAGGAAAGAAGTACTCAAACATCTTGAGGAATGCTGTTAATTATATTACATCCTGACGTTAGAATTCGTAAAGTTTTCCTATGTCATTTTACCGTTCTTGTAATTGTTTTTTTTCTTAAACTTACAGAGTTATTGGGTCCCATTACTGCCCTTCGTGTGTTCTCTCTCTCTCTCTCTCTCTCTCTCTCTCTCTCTCTCTCTCTCTCTCTCTCTCCTTTATTTTTACCCGTTTTACTATTCAGATCTTTTAGATTCATAAGTAGTTTGGAAAGCTATATGCATTCAATTCACTTAGCTGTGTTCACATTTCGACTTTATAACTCTTCCTGTTGCTGACATGTAGGTCGGAGAAAGATAAACTAGCCAGCACTTTTAGTTTAGTGTGTTGGAAAAGCAGAGATGGATAGCGTATGGACCAGTGGAGAAGAAGTGTCCTAAGTTTTGTTCCCTCTAGCCTTATTCTCAGTTATCTTTAACATTACTAAGTTTCCTTGGGATTTATGCTAAGAAATTAATCGTCAAAAGCTTTCCTGTTTTGCTATGGGTTTATATATCCAGATGTCTACTCTTTAAAATAGTTTACTAAGCACTTTCATCACTAGCTATAATTCCCATGATATAATGGTTGTTTACCATATTTTCTATAAAATTTACATGACACTTAATTGGAAGATACTCAAAATTATTTTTACGGAAAATTTTAGGCCAGATGTGTTTTGCCAGATGGCATGATGTTAAGTGAGCAAGGAATATATAAAGAACAGATTTTGGTTCCTGTGTCCCGAAAAAGCTTTTACTTCTATTACCTGTCTTTGTTTTAGAAGCATCTGGAGATTGTTTTGGAGAAAAATCACAGGTAAGTAAGCTTTAGAAGATGATGAATGTTCCTAGTGAAGATTAGAAAACCTTTACCCATGATTATATGTAAACATGAGCCATCCACGGATCTGCTTTCTGAAAGGATGTTTAAATACATATAAACCTTTTTTTTTAAAAGTTATCTAGATGAAAATTTGTAATTTGTATTGGAGAAACAAATGATAATAGAGTTTCTTTAAAAACATCATACTGAGGACCGAAGTACTGTGGCAATTCAAAGGTTGTCTCGGTTTCCTCTGCTTTAGAAAGGTGTGGTGGTTAGTCCTGTTACTTCACCTTGTCATCTCTTCATGTGCTGCTATTTGGGGATTATGCTGTGTGGGAATTTTTATGTACTTATTGCAAAAAGAGTATAGGTAAATACCCAGTGTGCAGATGTGATTTTGATTGCCCTGACAGCTTCTAACAAATCAACTGTCCTGCTGATTGTTTTTCACATACAGCATTTTAGAACAAGATGCTTGGTTTGATTCTCTGCATTATTGTTCTCATGAAATATCAGTAAACCACCCTACAGGTAGTGTTCTGCTTTTTATAATGTGAGCAAATAAAACTTGGATACAAGCCTTATCCACAGTTTTTTAAATATCTGTATCATACTCAGCTTAACTCATATGTCTACTGTGATTAAAAAAATGAGTACTATACAGATATTGTCTAGAAAAGAATTAGTGCAATTCTGACTCACTTAACTGACTTAGAAATGAAACATCTTGAGTATAATTTTTGGCTATTGTTACTATTTTTGAACTTAAATAGGATATGTTACTTACAACTTCAAAGAAAACAGAATAGACAAGATTCCTTTTTTTTTTTTTTTTTTTTTTGGTTTTTTTTTTTTTTTTTTCGAGACAGGGTTTCTCTGTATAGCCCGGGCTGTCCTGGAACTCACTCTGTAGACCAGGCTGGCCTCGAACTCAGAAATCCGCCTGCCTCTGCCTCCCGAGTGCTGGGATTAAAGGCGTGCGCCACCACCGCCCGGCTGACAAGATTCCTTTTTATTGTTGTTTGGAGCCGTGGGTTCACATTGTAGCTACTTTGGAATTCACTATGTAGCCCAGCTGGCTCCGAGCTATGGCAGTGAACTTGCATCAGCCTCCCATGGACAACTGCCATTTTAAACTTGGGACTCAGATGAACGGTAACATATTAGTGAGCACAGGGTCTTAGATGAGTGGAATCATCCCATCTTCACTTTAGGCTGCAGCTAAGGTTGAAAAGTGGCTCCTCCTTTTAAAAGTCATTTAAAAATCATTCTTTCTGTCTCTTTCCGTCTCCCCTCCTCTCTCTGTGTCTCTGTCTCTCTGCCCTCCATCCCCCAGTACTGAAGATTGAACCCAGGCCTGATTACTAAAACTACATCACTGGTTCTTTTAAAATTTTGCTTGGAGGAAGAATCTTGCAAAATTGCTTTCAATTCTGTCTCTATGGTATTTAGGATTAAAGGCATTTGGCACCATGCTTAATACAAAAGCAGTTTTTAAAAGATTTACTTTTATTAATTTTAATTATGGCTATGTGTATACATTCAGTCACATGAGTGCCCCAGGAAATCAGAGATGTTAGATTCCCCAGGGCTGGAATTACAAGGCAGTTGTGAGCCTGCTGACATGGGTGCTGGGAATTGAACTCAGGTCCTCTCCAGCCCAGGCAGTTATTATTTTTCCTTCTACCCTTGGGCAATAATACAAGTTAGAAGGAACATCTTGACAAACTTTAGAATTAGATTAGGTAAACAGGTGTTGGCTTTGACACTAGTTATGCTGTAGAGGTGGAAAGGGTTTTATCTAAGAGATAGTTAATGACTCTAACTCAATTGTTTTTACTCATTTTCGGTTCTTAGGTTACATTTTGTTAAATTGAGTCTATTCCCTTTGGAAATGTCTGCAATGCCTTTACTATTTATTTGGCTTTTATTACTATAATTCTACCTTTAGATGGCTCAGCTAGAATATTGATACTTGTATTTATACACATAGAATGATGAATGGACAGGGAGAATAAATAATTATGGCTTCATTTAGGAGGTGTCTTGAGTTGCGGTCGAATTGAAGAACAGAAGCCTAGATACAAAGCTTCCTAAATTGTGATGTGCAGGGGAGAGGTAAGACTGGAAAGGTAAGCACAGGGCAGAGAGGAAGGCATCCATTCTAAGGACTTTGGGCTCTAATGAGCATTGAAGGAATGGGCTGACGTTTTCTAATCTGTAGAGACTTTGGTAGCAGGACGGGCGTGGTTTGTGGACAGTAGAGAATCCCAGATAGCTTATCAATTCAGGTTCCTCTCGTGTGGTAAAACTGGGAGTACTCTAGAATGTTTTCAATGAAAAAAGACTGAATTCTGACGACTGCAGAACACCATTTCAAGCTTTGAAGAAAAAGGAGTTAGGAAGTACTAAAAAAGTGTAGATAAATGAGGAGACATGAAAATCACAGAAGCTGAGACAACAGTGCTGTACAGTATTAACATGCTGCAGAGAAATCAGGTAAAATGAAGTTTGAAAATAATAGTCTATAAACCTAGATCAGTTTCTGTTGAATTAATAGGACCTTGCTTCCATTGGTTGGATGATAGGAAAGAAAGGTATTGAGGAAGTATTTTAAGAAACTTGACTGGCTGTGTGAGAAGAATTTTAACAGCAGTACTATTGATTTTTACATTAAAGTTTGCTTTGTTTCTCAAATATTTAGCCATGAGTTCCATCTTTGAATTGGTTGTCAGGAGTTTGAACATCTTCAGTAGCTATCTTATTATTAAACAGAAAAGACCTATGTTATGTTACACCCATTGAAAGTACAAATTTCCTGAGTTTTCACTTCTTCATTTCCAGAATGAAATTCCTATTTATGAATTACTTGAATTAGAAAATACATTTTGAGTACCATTTACATTTTAATTTTTGCTACATGGCTTTTATGTTAATTGTGCATGTGTCAGATTTAGCACATGGTGAATTTTCAATTTATTATGTATTGATTTTTTTAAGAAATGTCTCTCATAAATTACTAATTGTCAGTGTTCATTTTTTCTTATTTTTTTAAATTTGAAATGAGAAGAAACTAGTAAACAAGAAGATTTCCTCCTGATTATCAGAAGTGTAAATTGTCAACATCTGTGACACAGTTTCCCCCCTTCCTTCAGAAAGCATCCTTACATCCATTCGCTTTGGGTTGTTGTAATACTTACAGAAGGAAGGATGCTACAGCCTGACTGGGTGGACTACCTGTGGATTCATCTGGTAATTTCTGACACTAATGATTTTGTAAGTGGACTGTTTGTGTGGATACTTGTTAAATTGCAATATGGGCACGTAAGCAGGCATTAGCAGCACATGTATTGAATGGAATTTAGTAATGTAAAAATATCAATTCATCTTGAAAAATTAAGGGAGAAAAATTCATCTATAACTTAAAGTATTTTTGGTAAATTTAACTGGAATTTTTTTGGAAACTGGTTTCCTTAATATGCTCTTCAGCCAAAAGTTTTGGAAGGTCTCCGTCAAGAAAACAGAATCATTCATCCAAAAGTGAGAACTGTGGGGAAGAAACCTTTGAAGATTTGCTTTTAAAGTATAAGCAAATACAACTGGAACTAGAGTGCATCAATAAGGATGAAAAACTAGCTCTGAGTAGCAAAGAAGAGACTGTGCAAGAAGATGCGAAAACGTTGCATTTTGAGGACCAAACAAGCACGGATAATGCTAGTATTACGAAAGACCCAAGTAAGGAAGTAGCTCCTGAGGAGAAGACACAGGTCAAAACTTTTCAGGCATTTGAATTAAAACCACTCAGGCAAAAACTGACTTTACCGGGGGATAAGACCCGAGTGAGAAGAGGGAAAGACAGCACAAAGCAGCCCTCCCTGAAATCCAGCACTGCAGATGCTAGCCAAGGTAATGGGGCTAGGCTGGGAGGTTGCTTTGTTAAAGACTCTTCAGTTAAGGAGTCTGTAAGTGTGCTTCCGCTAAGGATCCCAAGTTTCTGTAAGTTCTTTTGTACTCTCATTAGAGGTCTTATTACTTAATAGTAAGTTTTGTTTACTAAGTATTTTGGTTGAGGCAGGGTCTCACTCTGTAGTCCAGGCAGCTCTGGAACTTGCTGTGTAGTGGTCCATGCTGACCTGAAACATGTAACCCATCTGCCTTAGCTTCCTGAGTGTTGGGATTACAAGTGTGTGCTACCATTCCTGACTTGTGCTAATCTTTTGTGCTTTTGGCCTGGTCTGCTTGCTCTCCAGGTCTTAAACATGTGTTGGACAGTAAGTGATAATAGTGGGCAGTCTTACTGCTTTAGTGTTCTGTAAATTCGTAAGTCTTTAAGGTTTATTGGGTAATGAAAGTTTTCACCCTTATTCCTAGTTTTAAACTTTCTAATTTCTAATTTCTAAATTTCTAATTTTGTGGATAGATTTTAGAATTCAGCCATCTTTTTCATTATTGATGAGTTTTTTAACTTTTCTTAGTTAATACTACAAATTATATTAATTGATTTTTGTAATGTTTAAACTGCCTTTTTATACCTGAATTAGTTTATATGTTTTGTTTTTAAAAATCCTTATTTAGTATTTTCTTTATTAATATAATTTTTATGCAATAAAACATACTTTTTACTATATAGTTTCTCTACATTTTGACTTATGTAGACAGTTGAATAACTGGTAATAATCACCAGCCATTACAATTAAGATACATGCCTCTTTTGTCTTGTATGTGTGTATGATGTTTGAGTGTCATCAGCACACTTGTAGGACAAGTGCTTTATCTACTGACTTAATCTTATTACACCCATTCCTTTAGTACTTAAAGGTCTCTTAATCCATAGTCCATCTGGTGACTGCTGGTCTGTTCCAGGATTTTCCAGAGTAACATAAGTTGTATCATACAGTTTGCATGTCTGTCTGTCTGTCTGTTTGTTTGTTTGTTTGTTTATGTTATTGAAGATTAAACCTGTGGCCTCACACACCTACTAAGCAAGCAGTTTATTGCTGAATGAGATTCTCAACTCTTAATTTTACTTTCTGCTTTATTATAGAATTAGGCAGGGTTTCACTAAATAGCTCAAGATAGACTTGAACTTGTGATTCTCTTGCCTCAACCTCAAAAGTCACTGGGATTGTAGGATGGTACCACCAGCCCTGCATTCTAATTCTAGGCTTTTTTTCCCCCTTCACATAGCACAGTGTTTGAAATTCATCCATGTGGTTTTGTATATCACTAATCATTCCTGTTTTTAATTGCTGAGTGGTATTCCCATGTATGACTCTACAATAGTTATGCATATGATAGAGGGATGCTTGTATTTTTTTTTTTAAAGATTTATATATTTATTTTATATGAGTGCTCTGTCTTCATGCACACAAGAAGAGGGCATCGGATCCCTTTACAGATGGTTGTGAGCCACCATGTGGTTGCTGAGAATTAAACTCAGAATCTCTGAAAGAACAGTCAGTGCTCTTAACCATTGAGCCATCTCTCCAGCCTGGGATGTTTGTATTTTAATACAAAGGTTGGCAAGTGATTCGTCTGGTCTTCTAACCTTAATACACCCAACCCTCATTTTCCTTGCCAAACTTTAATGTAAGGTTATGATAGCCCTAGAAAGAATTAAGGTTGGTTTCTGGGCTCTTATGTAAAGTAGTGTAAGATTAGAATCAGACCTGGAATGTGTAGTGGACTTTGCCAGTAAAAGTGCCTGGGGTTTTAGATGGAGGTCTTGTCTTGTCTTGGATATTGTTTTTGGTTCTTGTTGCATTAGAGATTGAACACATAGTCTGGCACATGCTAGGAAACCTTGTATGTCTAAGTTATCCCTGCATCTTTATATTTTGATTGACCATCTATTGATTTTATTGAAAATTTGCCACTGTAACGGTGAATTTGCCTGTTTGTATGTTAAGAGATAGAGTATTGATGTTGCGTAGGCTTACCTTGAACTCTTTGTCTCTAGTGATCTTCCTGTTGTAACTTCCCAAGAAAATGATATGCACCAGGACTCCTGATAAGGGCAGCACTTTTGTGTGTGATTATGTATCAAGTCCAGTACCTGCCTCATGTATCAAACCTAGGTCGTACCTGTATTTTAATTCCCATTTCTCCATTAATCCAGTACAATCTTTTCAGTCCTTACCACAGCACAGAAACTTTGCAGTGTTAAAGCTATATTTGACTATGTTCTACACAATCCAGTTGCTGAATTCAGTGGTTCTTTTTTGAATTTCTTTTCATTCACAAACTAGTTGAGTTTTTTATTCCAGGCTCTTGCAAATGTTAATGAACAAAATAACGATTTATGCCTCCATAGGTTTGCTTTTATTTTTTAACTTATGTTTTCTGGTCCCGTATTTTATTCTGCTGCCTAGGCTCATCTCTAATTCCTAGGCTCATGCAGTTGTCTCACTTGAGAATCTGGGTCTATAGATGTGCAATACTGCACCCTAAAGGTCACTGTGACATAGTACACTTGCATCTTAGAAACAGCAAACATGATGAGCAAATTAGTTTTATGAAAGAAGTATTAGTGGGGTAAGGATAGGAGTAGGGTATCGGGTTGAATGTTATTGAATGTTAGTGTGTTGTTCAGGATAGTGTTCATTTGAAGGTGTGATTTAAACAAAGATTTTTAGACTGTAAGAAAAGACAAATGAATAATTGGAAGAAGAGATTTCTGGACAAAGAATCACTGATTTTAAAGACAGGCTAGCATTACTTGTCAGCTTGACAGAAATACAGAATATTAGGCCCTTCCCAAGATGTAGTGAATTGTGAGCTCTGGAAGTAAGACTCAGTGGCCTTGATGTAGCAAGCCCCTCTCTGTTGGATTCTAATATGTTGTAAAGTGAGAGTCTATGGACTGGAATAAAGACCCTACTGCAGATGGATTCCTGCCATACTTGGGAATGACAAGAAGCCATCTTACTAAGGAAGAATGAGGAGTGTGGGATCAGAGATGGTTCCATTGTAGACACTATGACCAAGGCAACTCTTACAAGGGACAACATTTAATTGGGGCAGGCTTATAAACTCAGAGGTTCAGTCCCTTATCATAGCAGGAAGCCTGGCAGCATCCAGGCAAACACTGTGCAGGAGAAAAAGCTGAGAGTTTGCCGGGCGGTGGTGGCGCACGCCTTTAATCCCAGCACTTGGGAGGCAGAGGCAGGCGGATTTCTGAGTTTGAGGCCAGCGTGGTCTACAGAGTGAGTTCCAGGACAGCCAGGGCTATACAGAGAAACCCTGTCTCAAAAAACCAAAACCAAAACAAACAAACAAACAAAAGCAAGCTGAGAGTACTTGATTTGAAGGTAATCAGGAGAGACTGTCTTCCAGGCAACTAGGGTCTCAGAATCCATGCCCAAAGCGACACTGTTCCTCTAACAAAGCCACACCTACTCCAACAAAGTCACACCTCCTAATAGTGCCATTCCCAGGGCCAAGCATATATAAACCACCATAGATGGTTTTTGGATACACAGCATCTAGAAACATACAACTTTGGTTTTAAGTTTTGAATGAAGTGGAGCAGGAACTTTTATAAGTTCTGTTCTGAGTAAAAGACCTCCAAAACTTATGTTTTCAAAAGATCTCTGGCTGTAGCATTGAGAATACTCCATAGTAAAGAGAAATTTTGATGTTTCTGTAATATGTATTTTTAACCTAGTTCCTCACCGCCCCCCCTTTTGTTTGTTTGTTTGTTTGTTTGAGACATAGTCTCAAAAGTAGCCCTGGCTGTCTTGGAACTCTAGACCACGCTGGCCTTGAACTGCAGAGATCTTTCTGCTTCCTGAATTCTGAGATTAAAGATAAATACTATTACACCTGCTTCTTCTTTTCTTCTTTTTTTACTTTTTTTAAAGAATACTTTTTCCTTTGGTCATCATGGTACATGCCGTTTATCTCAGTACTCATCCCAGCACTCAGGAAGCAGAGGCTTGGTGGATAGATCTTTTGAGTTGGAGGCTAGCCTGCTCTACAGAGTGAGGAAGGACGGGCAGGGCTATACAAAGAAACCCTGTCTTGGAAAACAAAAGAATACTTTTTCTCATACAACTTATTAACTTTTATGTCCTTGATTTTCAGTTTTCCTGGGACAGTCTCACTGTTGGTGTTTTAACTACCGTCTATATGCAGACTCCAAATTAGAAGCAGTTCCAGGAGTAAGATGCAGCTCCTTGGAAACTGTAAGGCCAGTTCACATGTTCTAGATAAAGATTGAAATAATAGCAGGTATGTTAGTGCATACCTGTGGTTCTAGTTCTTGGGAGCTGGAGGCAGGGGGACATAGTGAGACCTTTTCCCCATCCCTCAAACACACTGGAATAATTATAGAGGATAGATATGGTAGAATAGTGTATAACAAGTCACAAGGTCAATTTAAGCAATGACCTATATTTATAATCTACATGTAAAGTCTTACATTTGAATCTCATGGTTTCTTATTTTGCCATTGTGCTCAGATGGTACATTCTAACAGGTATTTGGTGCTGTGCTACATTAAAGGAGGTTCTGCCACTTTCTACAGAAGCATGACATCTTAATTCATTCTTAGATGTTTCATGGCCAGGTGAAACTCAGGGTTCTTATGTACGAGTGCTGTTAGAGCTGAGAGGTGAGCTGCAGCACCAGGTATGAAGGGCATGGTTGAGAACAGTGAGTGTGTTAGGGGCGTGGCTGTAGATTCCTATAGACTCAGATCATTCAGTCACAGTCTTATATATGTTCTGCTTTTATATATTCTCTTACTGTTTCTTTGAGATGAAGTTCATGCATAGGTAAATGTGAAATTTATGTTGGGCTAAAATTATTTCTTTCTCCCCTTTTTCCTCTCTTCTCTTCTTTCCACTCCCGCTTCTTTTTCGTCAGTACTGAGGGTAGAAGCCCATGGAGGCTGGGCAAGTAATTTAAAGCACTAAAGCGCACTCTTGGCTGTCGGCAGATTCTAATACACCAAGAGCATTCATTTTATAATGAATAAGCCTTGGATTTTTGTTTGGTTTTTGGGTTTTTTTCTTCCCTCTTCTCTGTAAGTTGTCCAGGTTGTCTTCAAACTCACTTTGTAGTCCAGGCAGGCTTTGTACATGTTACCTTTCTTGCCATAGTTTTTAAAGTAGCTGGATTTCAGGTCTGGGCCACTTGGCCTGACTAGAATGAATTTTATATATATCTTTTTTTTTTTTTTTAAGTTTATAGGAAAAGGATTCTGCCTCAGGTTTAGTGATGGCTTCTGTTTGTTTTATCTAGGATGCTTGAGTAATTACTCTGTTATTGAGTAAGGTATATCTTTTTCATCAGAGGGTCTACTTGTACAACCAAATTAGGATGTTTAGAATACTAATGGGTTTGGTATTATGGAAAAAAACAAACCATAGAATATTAGGCTTGCAGTTTAAACCGACAGCTTGAGTTGTATCCCACTGAAAGGTTCCCACGCTTTAACTTTGCTAGCTCATATCTCTGTCTCAGCACCACTGTAGAAGTTGTTAGTGCTGTTTCTGTATGATCTCAAAGACTGTTGTAGATTAGGTTTGGGATAATGCTGTACAAGTCTAGGTCCAAGGCTACAAATCTGAAAATCTTTAATTTTGTTGCTATATAAACTACTTCTTCTTGTGTTCTATGAAATAAATGGCCAGTTTTATTATATGCATGAACCTATAGTCTGAGTATTAAGTTGTTTTTATTGGTTCGCCATTGTGATATCCCTACTTAGTAATGAAGCTTTGTTTATCTACTGCATACATTCTGTTCTTATTCTAAATAATTATTTTTGGTTCTGAAGCCATTTTATCAAATTATCTTTTTTTAATACATAAATCATTTGCCATATCAGTTTTAAAATGAGGCTGATATTACAAGCTTGGTCAGATTTATATTTTCATTGTCTGTCTGTCTGTATCTGTCTCTTTTCATATTCCTTCTCTCTCTCCCTCCCCCCCTCTCTGTGTGTGTGTGTTAATAAGAGATCAATTTTGGATGCCCCTTAAGATGGTCTTTTGCTTGTTTTTTGATAGGGTCCCTCATTGAGACCTGGGGCTCAGTCATGCTGGATGTCTGTCTGGCTAGTGAAAACCGGCTCTGTCACCTGTCTCCATCCTCCCAGTGCTGAGATTACACTGCAAGCCACCACTCCTGGCTTTTTATGTGCTTCTGGGAATCAGACTTGGCTTCTCATACTTGTGTGGCTTCCATTTTATAAACTGAGCTATTTCTTCAGTCCTTCATTCTCTTTAATTTCTATAATTTTATTTATATATACTGAGAGAATAAATAGTATTCTTTTGTTTTGGTTGAGGGTCATGAGAACAAGGCCATAATAAAAACACTCTTTAATATAATTTCTGATTTTAGTGTTATTTCCATTTTGGATTAATTGTGGCTATATTTTAGAATAGTCAAAAGATGCTATTTTTATTTTAAAGGATTAGAAGATAAAGAACAAAATTTAACAAGAAGAATTAGTGCCTCAGATATTCTATCTGAAAAGGTAAGATCCTACTTTGTGGGATTGAATATATCTATATGACCTATACTTGCGTTCCATAGTCTGTTCTTTTGTCTTTATTCATTTTAGAGACTTGATCTCATTATGTAGTTATGGCTGGTCTCAAACTTGCCTTTGCTTCCTGATTGATGGGAGTACTGATATATGCTACCATGCACACAATTTGTAGTCTATTATTTTGAAATTATTGCTGTGACTTTATTTAGACATTCTAGAGAGTTGTGTTAGAGTTTCTTCCCAGTTAAGTCTAAACTCTAGTCACTTGATGTTTAATTCATATCTATAGATGATCTTTTTGTTCATTGTTTCTGACTCATTTAATTTTGATTCTGAGTTTATCTTCCAGGTTTTTGTTTGTTTGTTTTTGTTTTGTTTTTTTGGTGTGTTTGTGTGTTTTATATTCCATGTAATAATGAATTAGGTTGATCTTGATCTGGAATCACATTTTAACTACTTACTAACTGAAAGAAATGTTAGCTGAATGAGTTCTTTGGCTTTTTGTGTCCTTCCAATGAGTCTAACGTCATGTGTTCTCTGGGTTGTTGTAAGGCTTTAGTAAAATAAAGTACAGAAGTATCAAACACTCTTTAAAATTTGATACATATTGAATAACTCAAGCCTTTTCTTTTTATAGATCTGAAATATATGCAGTTTCTTCTTTTGTGATTTCAGTTTGTTGTTATGAGTAAACTGAAATGATTGACAGTCTAGGACAGATGGGTCCTGACTTTAGGAAGGATAATGTGACAGGGAACACACACTCATAAATACTTGGTTTTTTAATATCCTCACAGTAACCATATGAAGTAAGTTGACATTATGTTTCCCAGATGAAGAAAAATACATTTGGATAGGTTAAAAGACTACATTTATGTAGGAATTAGACGTCAGAGCAAGAACTGAATGAGGTCCTCTGAGCCCCGTTTCCATGATCTTGATTTTGAGTAGCTACTTTAAATCCCGTCTATAACTCTGTGACAGCATCAGTGATATTTACTTCCTTCCAAGGGGAGTCATTGCGTAGTGTAATATCAGTGAAAAAACGATGATAACTTTTTTTGGTAAAATCTAAATCTATTTGACAGTAGAATCTTATATTTAAAAATGGAAATGTTTCATAACTGCACTATTCAGTATGGTAGCTTTGAATAGTAGCACACATGACTTAAAATGCAGGCTGAAGAGATGGCTCAGCCATGAAGAGTTCTTGGTGTTTAGTTCTCAGTACCTGTATTGGGCGCCTCACAACCACCTGTAACTCCAGCTTCAGAGGATCTGACACCCTTTGCTGGTCTTTGAGGGCATCTGAATATATTATTTAGAACCCAGTGTGCTAGTATAGGTTTGTAATTTCAACAGTCAGGAGATTGAGTCTAGAAGGATTGTGAACTCAAGGGTAACCTGAGCTCTATAGTGAGCTCAAACATTCATGCCTAACCTGGGCTATATGGTTAACTGAGACAAACTAACAGATAAACAGATGTTGTGTTACCTTGTAGTTTTCAACAATGAAAGGGGAAATACTAAGGTGAAGTCATTAGCCAGCTTTCACTGTTTTCCTTATACTTACAAATACAAATAATTGGAGTTTAGGAAAAATACAGTTATACAATAGCAATTAGACAAAGCTATGTGAATCTTAATGTATTGGAATATGAAACTATTTCTTCTTCCTCTTCCTAATTTTAAAAGGATTCTCCAGACCTCTTAAATCCATGAACACCTAAGAAGTTTTACTTGGAGTTGCTTGGTATTTTCAGTTAGTTACATTTCAGTGAAAGTATTTAGATGTAGAGCAGGCTACTTTTCTAAAGCTATTTCAAGTTGTAATTAGTAGGAATAAGAGGTTCTGGTGAGCTGTTCTAGAGTGTCCAGAAAGACAAGATTCTTGATGTTTTCACCATAAAGAAGAAATAAATGATTGAGATAATTGTATCTGATTTAAATGTTACAGTATGTGCACACATCAAAACACCACAAGTACCCATCAGTTTGTATAGTGTTTATGTAGTGTTAAAAATTTGAAAGGTAGAGTGAAAAAATTAGCAAGTTACTTCAGCAAGAAAACACATTTGAAACACGTGCTTTTAAGATACCCTATTTTAGTTTCTTTGAAGAAAAGTGGGTATTCAAAATATTTTCAGTATTCAGGGAACATCTGGACTTAGAACATAGAACATTCAAATGCAAACTAATGAGAACATCTTTTTTCACCTGCAGTAGTGATAAAAACTTAACATTGTCCTTGGAATTGTAACGTGGTCCTTAGTGTTCTTGTGTCACAGCCTGATGGATGAATCTCTTCGTTCTTCACTGCTGGCTTCTGGCTGTTGTCGTCTTAACTGTTGTCCAGTCTTCCTTTCCTCTCCTGCTTCCTGGCTGCATAGTTACACACAAACCAGTCATTTCTGCCAGTTGACTTTCTGCTTGTACTGTAAGAATTACATTAGATATGATTTATAGAAGGGAAATGAGCTTCGTTATTTTAACCATATTTTCCATTTAAATATTTTATTTTGGTGATAACATTACATTTTAATTACATTGGTGAAAGATTCAGGTTGTCAAATGTTTACAGTTTAAGTAATAGAATTTAAAAATTGTAACCTTTTTTTTCTGTTTTAAAGAAACTTGGTGAAGAGGAGGAGGAGCTGTCTGAGCTGCAGCTCCGCCTTCTGGCTCTGCAGTCGGCTAGTAAGAAATGGCAGCAGAAGGAGCAGCAGGTGATGAAGGAGAGCAAAGAGAAACTGACCAAGACCAAAACCCCACAGCAGAAGGCCAAAACCAGCACAAAAGCACACTCGGCCAAGAAAGTGAGCACCACAGGTGACGAGCTTTCTTACACTGTTTCAATTGAACTAGTATATCTTGAAGTATCTTGTAGTTTCTAGTTTTCATTTTGGACTTCTCTCTCTCTCTCTCTCTCTCTCTCTCTCTCTCTCTCTCTCTTTTTTTAAGAGAAAATTACTTTTCTCTACACTAAAAATCAAAACAAAACAAACCCAAACCGTGTGCATGTGGAGCCTGTTTTTGTATTGGCCAGCTACTCTAGGGCATGGGGCCTGTAGGGATTTGGGGAGAGATGATCAGAACATAAAGTTGGGCAGAGAGGTGGATAGGATCAGAGGGAAAAGGGTATTATGAAAATGTATGAAAAATTTTCTTAAGTCAAAACATTTTATGTGTGTGAGTATTTTGCCCCACGTGTATGTGTTTGAGAAGAGACCATGAGGGCACCTGGAATTGGAGTTACAGGTGGTTGTGAGCTAGGAATTGAACCTGGATCTTCTTTTTTTTTTTTTTTTTTAAATATTTATTTATTTATTTTATTGATGAGTACATTGTAGCTGTCTTCAGACACACCAGAAGAGGGCATCAGATATCATTGCAGATGGTTGTGAGCCACCATGTGGTTGCTGGGATTTGAACTCAGGACCTCTGGAAGAGCAGTCTGTGTTCTTAACCGCTGAGCCATCTCTCCAGCCCCCGAACCTGGATCTTCTTGTTCTTAACCATGGAGCTATCTCTCCAGCCCTATAATTCAGGAGGCTTAGAGTTTGGGAAACTACATAGTCCTAAAATGGATGTGAATTCTGTTATAAATAGAATTCAGGGAGAAACAACTGTATGTTAGTTAGCGATACAGAAACAGTGCTTCAGTTTGAACTTTGAGTTGGTAGAACTGACACTTTGCTTTCACGGCAAGCTAAACAAGCATTACGGAAGCAGCAGACAAAGGCGTGGAAGAAACTCCAGCAGCAGAAAGAGCAGGAGAGACAGAAAGAGGAGGACCAGCGGAAACATGCCGAGGAAGAAGAGAGGAGGAAAAGAGAAGAAGAAATCCGAAAAATCAGAGACCTTTCAAATCAGGAAGAACAGTATAATCGGTTCATGAAATTGGTTGGTGGGAAGAGGAGATCAAGAAGCAAAGTAAGAACTATCACATCAAAATATGCAAAAGTTTTTACAATTTCATTCATTCATTCATTCTTTTTTTTTTTTTTTGAGGGTCAAAACACTTGTGCCATAGTGTCATGTGGAGGGGACAGCTTTCAGGGGTCAGTTCTGTCATACAGCATGAAGACTGAGGTCTGGTCACGTGCTTGGCAGTCCCTGAGCCATCTTATTGGCCCAGAATGTTTGTTTTTAAGTGTTAATATTATTTCAAAGATCCAGTTAGCTAAGGGAAACGGAATATCTTCTGTTTGATAGAGCGTCTATTGATAGTCCCCTTCCCTCTGTGTTAGAGAACACGAGCTGTGAGTTGTGCGCACGTGTGTACATGCTCAGTCTTTCAGTGTGTCTTCAACAACTCCTCCACTTTGTGGTTTTGTGGGTTTTTTTAATTTTATGATTTTATTGCCCCTGGCTACTTTGTATTTAGTCTTCACTGTGCTTCAGCCACTGCTGTGTACGTCCCTGACAATGACTAAGTGAGCTGTTTCCTTTCTGGTGCTGTCAGGAGAATACGCCAGGAGAGTTGATGTTTGACCTGCTATTATTAACAGTCACGATATTTTTGGAGTTCTGAACTTTAAGAATACACGCATGAGTATATTAACTAAATGTAGAAATTTTTAAAAAGTAAGGGTTCTTGAAGGAGAGAGTCAAGGGGAGGCTTTCTTTAGGATTATAACATTTATAATTAAGACCCTTACAAATAGAATATTTGTCTAGAGATAAATATATTATTTGTACTTCATTATCTCTACCTGCATAGGCTTTTCTAGCTTTTGTCATAAACTCTGGGAGTAAAACGTAAGCTATAAACAGCATAGCATATAAGCATGCCAGTCAAGTCTGTAGTTTTCAGATACAGTTGATTCATTTATAACTAAAATGTTGCTGACTTTTCAGCGAATGAGTATTACCTATTTGCATATCTGTATGCCACTTGAATACCTGACTCTGTGGAGGCTAGAAGAGGACATTGGATGCTCTAGAACTGGAGTTACAGACAGTGTGAGCTAGCTACCACATGGGTGCGGGGGATTGGCTGGTACTCTGAACCACTGAGTCATTTCTACAGCTCCTATTCTTTAATTAAAAAAAAGAAAAAAAGAATCCAATATTAGAATTGTAATGCTTAAATGGCCCTTTTCCTACTAGTTTCATGCCTAAACCATAATGGTTGTAAGGATTTCGTAATCTGACTTTGTTTTTTAGAGGAATCCAATTACTTCAATGGCTTAGACAGTGGGGAAATTCATTTGTATAGATAATACATGACTGTCAGAGACACTTTCCAGATAGTATGCCATGTGCAAGTCTCATAGAATCATACTGATTTGGGGTATTTGCCCCTAAAAGATAATTATCAACTCTTGTGATAAGTAGCCCAAGAATAGCCTAAGAAAATGTTTGTTGTATACTTAGTCTTCAGATCCTGACATGAGGCGGTCCTTAGAAAAGCAGCCTGACAGTGGAGGAGGGATATATCAATATGATAACTATGAAGAAGTTGCTATGGATACAGATAGTGAAACCAGTTCTCCAGGTAGGAGCCAAAACTTTGGAACATTTTATAATCACAATGAAGCTACTCAACCTTCAAAGAAATGTCTTAATGAAGGTGAGATTTACTGATGAGTTTTATATGATACTGTAAAATCTTAGAGTAAATCTCTGTTGTATAGTTTTAACCTTTATTTTCAAATGTGCTTTTCTAAAGGTTTAAATTTAAACTTAAGAAAAACTTTTACTTTTAATTTATTTACCTTTATTTTATGTGCATTGGTATTTTGCCTGCATGTATGTCTATATGAAAGTGTCCAATCTTGGAGTTACCGACAGTTGTGAGCTGCCATGTGGGTGCTGGGATTTGAACCCAGGTCCATCTGGAAGACCAGTTAGTGCCTTTAACTGCTAAGCCATCTCTCTAGGACTGAGGCTCTAAATTAAAAAGCTTTGTTTCAACTCTGTTGAGTATTTGATCTAAATGATTTTCTGAGTTCTGGGATTAAAGCCGTGACCCACCGTTCCCAGGCAGTTTTTCTTGATACTCAGATGTGATTGACCGTGAGAGACCTATTCTCATAGCAACTTGAAACACCTGCACCTAAGGCAGGAAAAGCACTACAGATGACCTTTGAGAAGCTGGAGGACTTAGGAGTGCCTGGGGTCGTAGGCATATGGTACAACGCTTAACAAAATGTGAATTTTGAGGAATTAAATGCCAGCTTAAAGGAAACTTTTAACTTTATCATTTAAGAACAATTTCATATGGTTTGAGAAGGATGCATAAGAGTTTAAGATTTATCGTAAACTATGATCTAATTTGCACTCTACCTAGTATATGTCTCCTCAGGCATACTGATACCTTTAATATACTCCTGTTGAAATACTTTACTAAACTCGTGACTTTCTCTTTTAAACAGCTCCTTCACCAGTACAACCACCATTTTTTTCTGAGTGTTCACTGGGGTATTTTTCTTCAGCACCCTCGGTTTCTTTGCCTCCATCAGCTCAGGTTTCAGTAAGTAAAAACTGAGTGATTTCAAAGAAATTACTGTGTATCTTCAAATGTGTTTTGGGAAACTGACATGAATTGCTTGGTTTGAAGAGTTCTTAAAAATCATAATCACTATTTAAATTACTAGCTAGAAATATGTAGAATTAAACAGTTGATTGTTTAGCTATCCACTTGGTAGTTTTGGTTTTTTAAGTATAGCTAATTTTAACTTTATTGATATCAGTCTTCTTTCTTTGCATCTCAAACTCATAAAACTTATTCCAAAGCAGAATAAAAATTGCTGCTTTCGGTTTTATTTTATTGATTTTTTTTTCTTGGTTTGTTTTTGGAGGCAGGGTTTATATAGCCCTGGATCTTGTAGAACTAACTAGAGACAAGGCTGGCCTCAAACTCACAGAGCTCTCCCTGCCTCTGCTTCTCAAGTGCTAGGATTCAAGGTGTGCCCTGAGTTTTTATTTTGATTTGTTTTGTTTTGGTTTTTTTAGACAAGGTTTCCCTGGGTAACAGTTCTGGAATTCACTCTGTAGCCCAGGCTGACCTTAAACTCGCAGAGATGCCCTTGCCTCTGCCCCTGGAATGAATGCTGGGATTAAGGCATGTGCTATCATGCTTGGTCTGAAAATGTTTTTTAATGAATTAAGATTTAAATAGGTTACTGTTCTTTGGATTACTATCGTTATGTTTTACTTGAAAATCAATCAGAAGAAGCATATTATCTATAGAAATTAAATCTTTTATTTGATTTTTAAAACGTATATGTTTGTGTGTATACATGTGCGTCTGTGTGCCCATGCTACAGCACACATGTGGAGGTCAGAGCACAACTCTCTCTCCTTCCACTACTTGAGTAGCTTTAACCCATTGATCCATCATGCCAGTGCTGATCTTTCAAAAACTATCAATCACCCTGCTTTTGTTTTGAGACAGTGTCTCACTATATACCCCCGTGGCCTGTAACTCCCTGTTTAGATGAGAATGGCCTCAAAGATGAGCCTGCTCTGCCCCTGAGCACTTGGGTTCAAGGTGCCTGCTGCCACTCTGGCCAGCAGCATCTCATCTTTAAAAAAAAAAGAAATCACAAAATAAAGGTTCTGCAGTTATTTCTAGATTGAGATCATCTAGAGAGCAAACTGAATCTCCTACTAGGTAACTGAACCTTTCCATTGAAAGTTTTCTTCGTAAATGTTTGGTATCTTCTAGGTGGAGTTTATGGTAAGGGAAATTGAAATGTTTTCTTTTGGGAATGAGGAATGAATGACTTAAAGTGTGAGAATTACTGGAAAGTCTTTGAAACAAAAGCATCTAAACTAAGGGACTTAGAGAAATCAAGTTTCCTATATTATCTCTAAGAAGCCATTTTTACAAGGATTTTAAGAGGTGCTGGACAGGTAGCTACTCTGGGGTCTTACTCTTATCCCTTTGATGTGTAATTTAATTTTAATGCTACTTGAAGTGTGATAGTACATGCCAGGGCTTGGGAGGAGCAGGCAGGCAGATCTCTAAGTTGGTGGCCAGCCTGGTCTACATAAGTTCCAGGCTAGTCAGGGCTACCTTGTCTACAAATACATATATGCTTTACCTTAGATACAATATTGATTTTATTTTATTTTTTTTTTAAACTTAATCTGAAGAGAATGACCTTGTCTAATTGGATTCTTATACTATCTAGAATTTTCATTGTAGATAAGGGCAGGAAGAGAGGTATTTGTATAATTACTGTGAAATTTATAATGTTTCAAATGTTAATTGCAAAAGTAACATTTTAATCGTTGAATATTAAATTCTGCACTAGCTTTGAGTTGTACATAATGTTTACATCAGTATACATAGAACAACTAAATAGAAATATACTTTTTCTGATTTAATATTTCTTCAGAGATGTTTGAAGTTAATAAAATTTGAATTTAAATGATTTCTTCTTTAAAACCCAGTCTGTGCCATCTTTGAGCCAGCCTTATGGGGAAGGCCTGTGCGTTTCTCTCGACCCTCTACCTCCTCTTCCACCTTTGCCACCTCTGCCACCTGAAGATCCAGAGCAGCCTCCAAAGCCACCATTTGCTGATGAAGAGGAGGAGGAAGAAATGCTTCTTCGAGAAGAACTACTTAAATCTCTAGCAAATAAAAGAGCTTTTAAGCCAGAGGTAATTTAGTGCCTGACCCTCTAGGTGGCGCTCTTGTGCCTAGCATTAGGAAGGTCTCCTCTCGCCTGCCTCTTTCAAGGCTAACAGGGTTTTCAGCAAAGTTATGCTAAATCTAATGTCATTTTACTCCAAATCTCTAAAGATGACAGACATGTCTTTTTATTGGAAATGTTTATCTTTTTCTTATTAGGAAACATCGAGTAATAGCGACCCACCTTCTCCTCCAGTCGTGAACAGTTCTCAGCCTTTGTCAAGAAGCAATCTGTCAATAGTCAGTATTAATACAGTATCTCAGCCTAGGATACAGAATCCAAAGTTTCACAGAGGACCACGTCTTCCACGAACTGTGATCTCGGTAAAAGCAAACACAAGACTTAATACTTTTATTCAAATAGCTTATTGGAATTATTCTTACTGTCCTGTTTCCACCATCTAGTTCATTTATGTACAAAAGTAGATTCTTGTTCAATTACAAATGAAAACCTTTAAAGACGTTTGAAGTAAGTAGCATGTGCTAGACTTTGGCGATGTTTGAGGATGTGTTCTGCCCAGAGTGTGATAGCTATTCTTTCCTCTTTTTAAAGAACTTGAATTGGTCTATTTTCAGTCTTTTCTGGTATCAGTTATAACAAATATCTAAAAATTCTTGTCTTTGCTTTGCTCTTTAAAACATTTGTAATAGGACTGAGAATTGAACCTAGGCTTCCCCACAGTCGGCACGAATGCTAACCAAAGCACTGTATCCCCAGCTTTTTTTTCTTTTTTTCTTTTTTTTAATTTGGAGATCTCAGTAAATTACACAGGCAGGCCTTGAACTTGCTAGTCTTGCCTCAGCCTCCACACTAGTAGGAATTGCAGCCTGTGCCACCAAGCCAAGGTGACTCATTTTTTAAAAATAAGTTGTTCATATTTTCTATCAGAGATCATACTGTCATGGGAGAACTTACGGTGTTTATTAACGAAGTTGATCTGAGTCTGGTGCACATGTACCAGCGTCTCAGTGTTGGAAGCTGGAGGTTGGGTTCTACCTGGGCACAAAAAACCCAAGAAGCAGAGATGTGGCTTGGGAGAGGGATCTCCTTAGCAGGCACAGAGCTCTGGGTTCAGTCCCCAGCACTGGAAAATAAAGGGTGCAGTGGAAGTTTTTTAAATCTTAGTTCCTAATGGCTTTAAAGGAAAATAAATAGAGCAAAGTCAAGTTGAAATCTTTCCTGTGATAGGGTGACTAACTTTGGTCAATCACCCTATAGTCAGAGTCTACAACGTTTGTAAATGATTTCTTTGAGTTAATTTAGATGGCAGCATATTTCTTTATGGAAAGAAAAAAATTACTGAAGAAAGTGTTTTTTGTAATATCTGGAAAATGTAGACTACTTTTTGTACTTGGATTATAATCCATATTGAGGATATAATAGAATGTAGTCAGAAGATGCCTCCATATACTGTGTGGAGCCTGTGTGTGTGTGTGTGTGTGTGTGTGTGTGTGTGTGTGTGTGTGTGT